CTCGTCACACATCGCTTGGTGACACCACTGGGATGCTCGTTGACACACTCGTAGTTGGAATTGGTAGCTGTACCATCAGGGCAGTTCGAGTCAGTAGAGGTGACCGCCCGAGATACGTTCTTCAGGGCGCTCTTCTACCTTCCTGGCGTACCAGACGTCAGGTTATCGGCGATTCGGACCGAGTGGTTCACTTTATCCTGGATGTCTTCCAAATCCTGGTTGGCCATTCATCCTGGGTGACCTTTCATCCCGGATGACCACTTCCGAATCCATGGTCCCTTCCTTGAACACACACCTGCTAGCTCCATTTCCATCCAAAACGATTCTTCTCCATGTCTCACGCAAGCGCTCTCGACCAATCCGAGCTCTACTTCACTCCCTCATTCGTCAATCTCTCAAAACTGCAATTCGCATCACCACAACCGCCTCTCTGTTCAGGATCTTTCACAGAGGAAATCACCACCGAGGTGAACGATCATGACCAGACTACATCCAGATTTGACCATTCCAGGGCGGTCTTTCATCATGAACGACCCGCCCGTTGCACTACCGCAACTCGCATCGCTTCTGCGCGTTTCGCTTGGCACCCAAGTCAAGTTCTGTCACAGCGTGGCCACCCCAGAGATTTCCACTCACAACGCGAAATCACTTCTGCTCGACAACTCACTTCCTTCTCCAGCACGCAAATGGTTCTCCCGGCGACGGACCCACCTCCTAGTATGGCGCAACTCCCGTCGGCCCCTAGTGGGGTGGTCAACTCGACGGGCGCTGATGTGCCTAGTATGGGTTCTCACGGGGTGAGCGACACCCAGCATCTTCGGCTGGGTCAGCCTCACAAGGCGCTTCTCCAACGCACCTCCCTTCTCCTCCGCACCAGGGACATCAAGACGACACGGTCGACGCGGATGAGCCGATGTTGGAGGGCAATGATTCAGTTACAGACGTGACGAACCTCGGTGCACGTTTGGATATAATTTCACGCATCGCCAATCGATTTCAAGCGGCCACACAGTGGTACGCTCTGCCATTGCCGGCAAAGGTTCGTCCCGCGATCATCCCAGAGGTGGTGTCTGCCAGCTTTCCGCGCTCTGTGACTCACAGCCCATCGGACCATGATTTCTTCGTGGGTATACCCGCGTGGTCCCAGCATCTCGCCGAGGACAAGTACACCAGGGATGGTTACGGAGGTCTCCAGGTGTTGCGGTGTGCCGACGGGTTGACACCAGTGGATCCAGGATCTGGCTTTGCTCGTTGCCCATGATGATGACGTGAATGATCTGGTCTTGCGCCCTCGCCCTGATCCACCCCTTGACGTGGTCGACCTGGAATGCATGTTGAATTCACTGATGGTCCGTCGAGAATTCGCTTCCACCCTGTCACACTATCGCCCAGACAGACTGGCTCAAACGGTGTTTGCCACCACGACATTCCTGAAACGGCACTTAGACAAGTTCAGACACCTACACGCTCAGGTGGAGGCCAAGCATCGTACGGCAGTCCAGGTTATGTTGGACTCCCAGACCGAGACAGTCAGGGTCAAGGCCGACTATGCAACGCTGCACGAGTTTTACTGGGGCGAGGCCCGTCGGCTGCAGATGCTGCTGGACGCTGCAGATCACCGCCGTCATGACCATCTCCGCGGGGTCATGGCTGAACATGACCTTGAGAAGCGCGCCCTCCAAGAAGAAATCTCTGAATTGCGTTCCCGGGTGGACAGTCTCTTCTTGACGAGTCGAGGCCGCCGTGGGACGCGTTGTCTTGAAGTACCTCGCTTGATGAATTTCTTGAATCGGAAACAAACCCGTATCAATGATAACTGGGGTCGACTCCAGAGCTTATTCGAACGTTTTCGCGATTAGTTAGAGCGCTTTCATCGCAGTCACTGCGGTGGATGATCCTTTCGCCCAGAGTGTACCCTTCACAACTTTGCCCGAGGATGATTCGGATGGCGAAACCAAAGACGATCGTGGTGATCAGGGCGGCCACATTCAGGGTGGAGACAACACCATCAACTTGACACAGCCTGGTTCTGGTGTCAATGACTCTTCCTCGCGGAAGACTGCCCCCTCAAGAAGCAGAGCCAACATGAGTCTGTGCTCAAGGTCCCGGAGTCCCCTCAGCTGCGACCTACTGGCTGGAAACCCACAAAAGATGGGTCCCGCTCTCCTTCGGACAGGTTAATGTTCTCGGAGGCACACGTGCGTGACACCATGAAGAACCAGCCTGTGATTTGGGACACACTTCGCCCTGACGTCAACGGGTTGATGCAAGCCGAAATCAGTTACCAGGGTGCGATCGCAATGCTCAGTGAGGACATCATGGTCCACAATCTGTTTCCTCCTGCTGCGCTTGCTGCCATTCTCACGAACAGGATGTTTTGGAATCGTCTCGACGAGTCACTATGGTCCTAGTATGTTGCTGAGCGCTACTACCTTCGCGCTTACCCCTCGCTGACATGTATTCTGAAGGTATGCGCCTGACGTTTGGCCGGATATCGTTGACGCAGACGTTCGTGATGCCTAAGACGTGGATGACGATGCGAGCAGTGAGCACGACGACCTCCGGCGGGACGCGAATTACAATCCTGAGGAAGAGGTCGACGCTCAGGATGACGACGATGTTCAAGGTCCGAGCGATGTTCCTCCTGCCGCCAAACGTCGTCGTACGTCTGTGTCTTCCCACACGGGGTCGGTTACGACACCTTCGGCCGGTGCGATGATTACACCTTCACGGCGCAACCGAGCTGGAAGTCTTCGTCGTCAGTCTTCTTTGGCTCGCATTGATCCAGGGGCACTCACTGGGGTGACACGGAGATTGTGGAAGTTCCTGGTCCTGGTGGGTCGTCTTAATGTCATTATGGCATTCTGATGACCGTCGCTCCTTCATCTTCTCACGCAGTGCACCTGTCTGCCGGGTTCCCTGATTATGCGCCCAACAAGGTGGGTGGAATTCATCATCTCAAGCAACGATTCATTCTGAGTGATTACAAGCGTTATTGGCGACCGAGCCTTCGACAAACATGTTCGAGACGAGCGTGAAACGTCTGGTACTACATTCTCACAGTGGTTTGCGCCGCGTGCTCGAATGGCTCTGGACAAATACATACGGTTCATGGAAGAAAACACAGCAGGCTTCTGGCATGGTGGCCACTGGTTCGCTATCTACTCGTCTACTCCAGGCGGGGCCGACATGCAGCGTGAACGCAAACGTCAGTGGGATGCGTTGACCAGGACTGTAGAAGTTAAGCAGCGGGAGTGCATTGCTGAAGGTGCACCTTCCTCAATATTCTGGGAGGCTGCATATTGGACCCTGCTTTCGAATCCGTGCTACTGGGTGCTGATGGATCCAAGATCATTCAGTGATCGTAGTAGCCCATACTCTCTGGCGGAACGGCTCGAGATCCTGGATCATCGTGAACCAGCGCGGGTACAGTGGGCTACTGCAGCTCTGGATGAAGAACTCGTGGATCACATACCCAAGTCTGTGTCGGTGAGCCTTCTTCCTCAGTTAACCCGCCAGGACAACCCAGCTTCGCGCACGTACTATTGAGGTGTCCTCCTGTATTTCGTCACAGTAACTTGAGTTGTCGTGCGTCTAAACTAATACAGTCGAATACATGTCATTTTTGTCTTTCTGATTGTCTTTGCCTACTTTAGTTCAGAACATACTTCGGAATCACAACAACAACAATATTTTCACCATCTAGAATCCAGGACCACGTAAAGTCATCCAGGAATGTGAGTAATTCAAGAAGCTAATCCACAAAATCGAGAGTAGTATCAACAAAATCGAGACAATTCACAAAAATTCGTCAATCTGGGTCAGACCCCAGGATCGATAGAGAAGCCCCGACTAAATCTGGGGATAGTCGTCACCAGCCTTCATCGCCCTGAAGCGTGCTCGGGCTCTGGCACCCCGGTTGAACTCGTACAACAGGGCTCCATAGTTGAGTTTGACAGTGGTATCCATTCAGGATCGACTTACGCCTTCCACTTGATGAGACATTCGCGAGTTCTTCTGGACGTACGGGTACGTTTAGTCCACCGGAGATCCAGGATTCGTTCCACTTCATACTCATCATTCTGGTTGTCTGCATCACATCTGTCTTCAGGCAACAATTCCGCATCCAATTCGTCATTTTCGTCCAGGGTGACTTCGTCGATGGGTCTCCTCGGGAACAACGCCCGAGGCTTCAGGCAACTTACATGTACCCATAGATTTACACGATATCCTGTTCCATCGATCTTCAACTTCACCCTGAAATGATAGTGAACTTCGTCAATCCTGAAAGGACCATGCCACAGGTGTGCCAGCTTGCGACTCAATCCTGGTTGCACTTTGGGTATGTACAACCAAACTGCGTCGCCCCTTTCAAATTCAGATTTCAAACGTTCTGAAAGCTCTCTCCATTTCCGGGTCTGAACTTCCGATCTCAGGCGTGTTGCCTTCTTCTGTAGGTCCTTAGCACATGCTCGTGCGTAACTATAGTCGCGCCGAAACTTTCTCCTCCATTCATACGCAGTCCGTTCTGGAAGGCTGGACGGCTTAGGTCCCAACATGGAGGATACAGTGCCCTGAGCGTCCCAACCATGGACCAGATAGAATGGTGTATCTAGGCGAGTCGCATCAAAAGACGCGTTCAAGGCGAACATCAATTGCTCGGCATGGTCATCCCAATCTGACTGATCCGCCTCAGCAACATACGCCCGCACACTCCGAATGACTGTCTGGACCGAACGCTATTGTTGTCCATTGACCTGGGGCCGGTAACTCAAAGTGGATCTTTGACGGCTGCCCAGGAGTTCCCTAAATCTGGTGAAAACCTCACTCATGAATCTCGGGTCTTGATCGTGGCGGATCATTTCTGAAGCGCCAAACGTCCTGAACACTCGTTCCTCATACGCTTCAGCTACACCCTGACCCGTTGTGAACGACATCGGCTTATATTTTACGAATCCTGAAAATATGTCCTGGAATAGGAGCAGAAAAGTATTGCCTAGCTATGACTTTGGCATGTGCGTCACGAAATCCATCGAGACCACTTCAAATGGTCGCCTTGGCTCAAGTTTTCCAGGAGATGGGCCGGGGTTAGCTGGGTATCCCTTACCACTCGCACAATCCACACACTCCATGACATGTCGTTCCACGTCTGCGTACATCCCGGGCCAATAGAATTCAGAGCGCAATTTTTCGTGAGTCCATTTGATGCCCTGGTGTCCGCCTTGAAAGTTCTCATGGGCATAGTGCAGGATATCTTCTCTCAGGGTAATTGGTACTACCAGTCGTAATTCATCCTGGGCATCTCGAGGTCTGCCGCGGGTGGATTTAGCTAACCGATATAGCACACATCGGCATCCAGGGTGAACAAGTCTGCGACCTTGGCGATCTTCCGCAACTGGTATAGCGTGAAACGATCGACTTCTCCATTCAGGAAATCTCACAAATCGCACAGATATTCGTCTTGTTCCTGGTGTACCTTAATCGGCCGCCACCTTTCGCGTTGGTACTCTAAAGGGTCGAGGGGTTCCGAAGATGTCTGCCTGCCACCGACGCTAGCTCGTGTCACGGCAACCAAGATTTTGGCTGCATATGACAGCGGAGCCGCCATGGCGTCCGGGGCGGAGAACATTCAGGGAGGTAGGAGAAGTCTCCTTCATCTTGGATGGCCACCAGTCTTGCATGGCTAGTCACTGGGTAAGCTTCTGTTGACTTCACAACTTCTCTTGAATCTGAGATACCTGTTCCAGGTGTTGGTGCTCTCCGTCTTCTTGAACACTCCAGGATTTTCCAAGCAACAATGTCTTGGAAGTCAAATAGTCCGCCGCCTGGTTGAAGGCTTGCTTGATGTGTACCAATCTCACCAATCGAACTTGACTTTCAGAGCTTCACAACGGGCCAATCGCCTCTGCAAATTGGGCTGATTACAGTTGATCAATCCTTGTATTTGCTGGATGACAATTCGTGAGTCACCCACCGCGATCAGGTCCCTAATGCCTCTGGCCTGCGCGATGGTTAGACCGTTCAGGACCCCACAGTACTCGGCAGCATTCACAGTGATGTCCTCCAGGATGAAACCCTGTGCGTCCAGGATTTTCCATCCAGGGAGTTCCCACAAAATACATCCACAGCTACCCTGCGAGTAGATGTCTTAGCGTCACCATTAAAATTCAACATGATGTCTTGAAAGGTATCCTCCAACATCTCAACGCTAATTATCGGCGGCGGTTTCGCACACCCCTTGGCGGGGATGAGCTCTTTGGTGACCTTATCCAGATGCTCTCGAGGCGTAATGCCGGCACCCAGGATGGCGGCTAGCCCATCCTCATTTCGTTGAATTTTCCTGATGTCCAGGTTCCATTGCGAGAGTAAAACACCCCAGGGCACAGTCTTGGATTTCATGATCCACTTCAGGACTGAGTGTCTGGTATACACGATGAGAGGGCAGCCCTGAATGAGCGTTTTGAACAACTGCGATACTCTCAGCACCGCAATGACATCCTTTTCCGCGATGTGATATCTCAATTCCGCATCGTGGAGGACGCGGCCCGTGAATCGTACTGGCTGGATCAAGCCGTCATGTTCTAGACCCAGGACTGCACATGCAGCGCATTAGTTTGCATGGAGTATGATAACAAACGGCTTGGTCCTGTCAGGGTGTCTCAATACCGGGGTTGATACGATCTTGTGTTTCAGGATTTGAAACGCTTGCTTTGCCCTGAACAAATCTCGCTCTGAACGCACTTGGACATCCTAGAGTTCATACAGGGGGGCCGCGATCACGGGATAGTCCTCTTGTGATAGTAATTCAGACTGCCCATGAAAGATTGTACTCCCTTCATTGTCGTTGGGAACGGTAAATCCTGAACGCCCTTAGCGATCTTCGACGTTGCCCTAATTCTCTCGGCACTAATCTCATGAGACAGATACGGAATGGACAATTTCCCGAACTCGCTCTTCGGCAAAACTTACTGAGATATTCCAATACCGCAGTCTGTACAACAAGGCGTCTAAATCAGAACCCAATGCGTCCCAAGTAGGTGCGCCATGCGCGATATTGTCAATGTACGAGCTGCACCCCAGGACAGGTGACATCTGCGTCGGAGCAGGGATATTCCTCTTGAACACGGTCATCGGATCCTCCAAGGTCGGCAGTAGTGGAGGAGTATGGTCGCCCTCACAACCGGTACACCCTGGAATGCCACACCCTGGGGGTCCGTCATCCTGTGGTTCCAAATTTAAATAATCCAAACCTTCTTGGTCCACTTCAGCCTCCTCTTCTGGCGGCAAACGCACGAATCCCCACAGGCAATTGTTGATCACTTGCTGGTAAATCAGAGGTGTATTCTTTAGGCCAAACGGCATCCGAATCCACTGGAAGTGTCCAAATAGACATACGAAAGCTGAAATCAGTTTGGCTCTTTCGGTCATCCTGATTGCCCAGAAACCACTGGCCATATCCAGACTCATGAACCAGAGTGCTTTCTCAAAGCCGACTAACAAGTCGTCGATGAGAAGTAGCGGGTAGCTGGACAGCTGGATGAAATTATTCACTAGTCGATAGTCAATACACATCCTGATGTCCACCTCATTTTTCTTGAGCACGATCACGATCGGAGATGACCATTGCGATTCTGAATGCTCAATCAGATTGTTCTCGAGCAATTTCTTGAGGAGTTCATATACTTTGACTGCCACGTGCGGTCCAATCGACCTTGGGCGCAACGCGATAGGTTTGGCGTCTCCTACATCGAGGTCACATGCCACTCCTCTAGCGGGGGCTGGTGCGGCATTTCCATCACCCAAGAAAATATTCCTATTGCGTTTCAGGATCGCACGCACCCTGGATTCATCTTCGGAGGAGGTCTCGCCTGGGACTCCCACATCAGCCTGATCGATATCACATTCCGGGTGCAATCCACTCAAATCTGGGAGCTTGTCCCGCGATTGTGTCAGCATCTCGCTCCCTTCATGTATATACACACCCGGCTCCATTTCCAACTCTTTCGCGCTAACCCTCAAACAGCGTTCGTACTCCATCTCCAGCTTCTCGAGCGGTGTACAGGGCGTTGGTTCTGGGAGGAATCCTGGAGCATCATGTTAAGGGTGTAACTCCGCGAACGTCTCGCCGCGCTAAGGTTCCTCGGATTTGATAGTCGATTTTGGAGGCATATCCACAAAGGTATCGCCTCGGTCATCATCCAGGTTTTTCTTTGACCAGCATCACATTCGTGACTGTCTAGCCAGCTCTCACTGACCTGTGTAGTGACATCCATTCTGGTTGTCACCAGGAGGTTCTCTTCCGTCTGCGTACCCGCATCCACCAACTCTCCGCGATTCAACACCTTGAACTGCGGGGGTCTCGTAAGTGAGCCATCCTGACTTCTGCAGATCCGGGTTGGGATCTTAGCATAATCCTGGTTGGCCATTGATATTCCGATTTCGGCACGCATGGGGGCTCTCGTTCTTGCAGTGCCTGTTCTCTCCGTTCAGCCCTGAGCCTGGCTTGTTCAGACTGGGCGTTTGCCAAGATCAGAGTCTGCCATTCACGATAAGCTCGCATCCCAGGGCGGACGAAGCGCCCAGCATGCGGGAACGACCCATACTGTACGATCCTGGCTATCAGTGTCCTCATATCGATCCAGACACTATGCTTCGACACGTTCACAACCTTGATCGCCACTGGCCAGGATCTGGCCAGATACACAATCTCGGTCACCCACCTGTCACCTACGTCCAGCCTAAACGACCTCTCGTTCTGGATTCATATGCCCATACTGGATACGCACGACCGCGTGCTCTCCGGGCATGAGATACAAATTTTCTAGAGACGTGATTGGCAAGTCCACGCCCTGGGGTACTTTGACATTTACATCGTGCATCAGGATAGACTCTTCATTCGGGAGTTGCACCAAACCTTGTCGAACACAGACTCGTACCCCTGCGGGAAACATGAAGTCCATGCCCGGAAGTACATCCAATCCTTCACCAATATTGGCCACCCACAATTCCAAAATGTAGACGACCCTGGGTCCCAGGGTTCTCTTGACTTCTGCGCTGGCCATGATCTAGGTAGGAATACCCCCTAATCCAGACACCTTGACTTGAGTTTGTCGATTGAGCTTGAGCTTGAGTTTACACGCTAATTCCAAGCTGATCATGCTCAATGACGCTCCGGTGTTCAGGAGTATCGAGTCCTTACGTCATTCACGGCGCCATGAACCGTAGCAATTCTACGCTTTTCCTTCCCTGGCTGGTGTGTAGTCCACCGCCCATAACGTTCTCCATCCCGAAGCCGGAATTCCACAGGGAAGTCTGGGTAAATACCACATGAATGAAGCAATCCAGAAGGGTCTTATCCTGAACTCATGGGATCTTGAAACATAGAAGTCATGCATTGTTGGTTATCTTGGTTCTTGGTTCTCAACTCGGGGCCGACATATACTAAGGCGCACAATCCTGGGGTCTTACTATGCCCGTTGCGTACTGGATCCCCATCCAGCGGGCTTAGTGATTTAACGGCCCATCACCAGGATCAGCCTTGACAGCCAGGAGTCGGTCCAGCATCGGAGCGGGTCAGCCTTTCACGATACCCTGGCGGGCTAGTCGTGCGATAGACTCTAGCACTTCCCAGTCTTCACAGCGGCCATCATGGAACTTGCCACATTTCTTGCACGGCAAGGTCTTGCACAGCTGAGTTGGATGCCCAGTGCGATGGCAGTTATCACTGATCAGGTGTGCCCAGCAATTCTCAGACCGATGTCCGGTTCCATTGCAGTTGTCGCAACGCATGTCCCGGTCCGGGTTGTCATACCTCGGCGATGAAGATCCTGGGTGGCTGTTACTCTGGTAGGCTTTATCCTGGTGTGCCATATGCCCAGGCTTGTTCCATCCTGAATTCTACATGACCTTGAGCATATGCTGTGTCAGTTCTTCCATAGTCATACCAGGGCCTTGACTTTCAAGAGACGCTTCACGAGACGCGACGCTTTCCTGGGTCGAGGGATCCTCGGTAGCTCCGTCTTCGAACATCACATGTCGTTCATCATATTCAGACTCGTCGCCGCTCTGGGCGACGTATTCCTGGGTACTTGGTTTTGAGTCGCCCTTGACGGAGGTTGTCTGCCCTGGAGTCCCGTGTCTTGGTGGACGGGACGCTCTGGCTGTCGTCGTCCCAGTCGTCCTCCTGTTGTTTCAACACGTATTCCAGTTCATCCACGCTCTTGAATCGTTGATTCTTCATGATGTTCGTGAGTTGTGAATCCACCAGTCGATGCGTAAACCGCTTGACGTGCTGTTCACGGCGTCATTCGGACATCTTGTAACGGATGTCTGCGCGGTCGGCCGCGGCATTTAGGCGGTACAAGAAATCCAGAGGGGTCTCCACATTGCGTTGCTTCATTGTGTAGTATTTCTCTGAGTCGGACATGTGGAGTAGCGGGCTCACGTTTTCGTGTAAGCTTGCCCTCACACAAACCTGATGCGGCCGAATCGATGGCTGCGTCCGATATTTCCCCGGGACTTGTAGTAGCGTATCTCTTTTGCACAACCAAGAATATTGGGAACTGATCATATCCTGCCTATCCTATCCACCGGCTTCCTTCCTGCATAGTTCATCTAACGGTTGCACCC